AGCTGAAGCAGGGAACTGCTAAGGCAGCTGCATCCTGATGCGACCATCACAAAGCAAGAGACCCAAGAACTCGAAAGGCAAGGCTCACCGAACCATTTATCCCTCCGGCCTTCAATTAACCTCACGTGTGTTTATTAGCCAGGTTGACACAATAAACTAATTACCTCCATATACTATAGAAAATTCTTTTTAAGCCTTCAACACGAACAAATACAATCATCCCAGAATGAAGAAAAGCAGTAGCGTGATGGGACTACCTACACTATTGCAGAATTTTAAAGTTTGCAGCATTGGTGGGGGGCTCCAACCAAGTCTGACTCATGACTATGACTATAACTGAGTCATAGCCACCAGGACCCCAACCTTTAGATAACATGTGGCTATTTTCAGTAGATTATTGAGGACACCAACAGATAAGTTCTCCAGTTCTCTTTTCAAGATGAGGACAAAGCTGCCCTCACCCCCTACCCCCTCACCTGGGAGTTGTAATCTGCTTCTAAGCAAACTTTACCTGAAGGACAAAGCTACCTAAGATTGCCCAGAACTTGTCTAAATATTAGCCACCTTGTTGGTTCAATGATCAGAAAGAGCTTATGTCAAGACTGAAAATGGAGTTGGGGCTCCCACTATAGACTATACACACGGCCTTCCACAAAACTAACTACTTAGAATTTCAGCTGTAATACAGTCTTGTCTCCAAAATGTAAGTTGCTTATCTAATTAAACTGCCCAAGAGATGCATTTATTTTACACTCAGTGGATATTAAGCTTCCTATAGGCATTCTTTATCACTAAAATAATACAGTCTGTCCAATAGGCTGTCATGGAATCAAATGACAACATATACACAGCAACGATAGACAATGAGAATCTAATCACTGACCAATGCTCTAATATCCTATTACCTTGAAATCCTCTCCTTGGACCTTGTTCTCTTACTTAGTTATATTCCCTATCAGTAATTGAATTTATAGAGGCAGTATTTCTAGTTACAGGAAATGCTGATCATAGTAAATCTGAAATATATGAAGGAAAATGTTCTTTAATAAATAATTGAAAGACTCCGTTTTCAAAATTCAGTGTGGGTATTTTTTCCTTTTATGTCCAGAGTATTTTATAAGTGATAGCTAAATTGTGGCATCTAAAAAAATCATCTCTAAGGAATCTCACAGAGTGTGCTACATAATAACTTCTTGTAAGTAGGTTAAATAAACTGGCTTTATCTTGAGTAGCTTACCTCATTGAAGAATTTAATATATTCAGTTTTACTGCTGAAACACCAATTGAGTTTGACACCTCTGATGAGATTATTAAACGTGGGATTTTTTTTCTTTCTTTTTCTTTTTGACAGCATCAACAAAGAGAGCATCGTGGATATAGAAGGTGTTGTGAGAAAAGTGAATCAGAAAATTGGAAGCTGTACACAGCAAGATGTTGAGTTACATGTTCAAAAGGTAACTTTTTTCACAATGTGAACTATGTACAGAAATAGATTTGAGTAGTTCTTAAAACTCTTCATGTTATATCTTTGTATCCTGAATAATTGGAGCTGATATGAAATGCTGAGATTTATAAGTTGATTGCTAAATCGGTTATATAAAGGCTGCCGCAATACATGTGTCTTAGAACAACAAATCTGAGTTCGGCTATTAAGGCAGCGTCCATCTCAAATGGCTGCTCGCTGTTCCATGTGACATAGCCTGGGCTCACAGATGTACGTGAAACATCTTTCCATATGGTCTCATCCTGTTAGCCAGCAGCCCAGGCTTCTTCACAGGGTTCCAGCAGTGTTTCAGGCAATTAGAGAGGAAACTCCTCGTGTACAAGCTTCTGGTGCCATGCTTATTAAAGATCCCATAGGCAAAGTCACATAGCACAACCTAGATTTAAGAGATAGAAAAATAGATTCCGTCTTGTAGTGAGAAGAGAGACAACATCATTGCAATGGTATATGCATGACAGAGCATTGTTTCATTATCACAGCCACTTTGCAAACAATCTACCACAATCACATAGGTAAAATATAATCTATAACTTAGTAGCTTTAGTCAGTAGTAGGAGTCTATCTCACAATGTATTTTCTTCTGATATAATTCTAA